GCAAATTGCTTTCACTATTAAACTATCTATTTTCTTGTTCTGGTTTCTTCAAGACACGTAATCACTGCTTTAGTAAAATGCTTACAAATCACTTTTCGTTCTGATTTTATGTGTTTTCCCCATTGACTTACAAGTATCAACATTCAGCACGTTGTTCTTCCCACTATAGAGGCGGCACTTGGAGAACAAGTTGGAAATCAGGGACTCTGTTGGTAGATGGTGGAGTTGAGGGTCCCTTGTGGCTCCTGGAAGCCCCTCCCACAGGTGTTTGCTTGACTGGCTCCTCTCCCACCAGGCTTCAGCTCCACCCGTCTGCCCCCAGTGGCGGGGTTTCCTGTCCGGGCTTCTCAGCACCTCTGACAGCTCCGTGACAGCGCTGGCTGGCCAGGAGACAGGGCAGCTGCCGAGATGAGCAGCTGCCGTTTTTTAGAAGTTGCTTTTGTTTGACCTTTTCATGTTGTTTACATCTTGTAGGAAGGTGCTCTCATTTACACTTGGTATCTTTAACTTTATTCCGAATCCTAATAATAAAGCTGAGCTCTGAAGAATTGATGCTTTTGAACTGTGGTGTTGGAGAAGACTGTTGAGAGTCCCTTGGACTGCAAGGAGATCCAGCCAGTCCATCCTAAAGGAGATCAGTCCTGGGTGTTCATTGGAAGGACTGATGCTGAAGCTGAAACTCCAATACTTTGGTCACCTCATGCAAAGAGTTGACTCATTAGAAAAGACTCTGATGCTGGGAGGGATTGGGGGCAGGGGGAGAAGGGGACGACAGAGGATGAGATGGCTGACTGGCATCACTGACTCAATGGACATGAGTTTGAGTAAACTCCTGGAGTTGGTGATGGACAGGGAGGCCTGGGGTGCTGTGATTCATGGGGTCGCAAAGAGTCGGACACGACTGAGCGACTGAACTGAATAGTGATTATTCCTTTCTAAAAAATTAGAAAACAAAAAAATACATTTTAATCACTCAGATAAAAATACTATTAAAATTATGGCATATTTTCTTTTTCCAATGCCTATAATGTATGTGTCTATAGAATTTATATGTTACAGATTCACATACCTAAATGTGAGTGTTCCCCATGCCTTTCATTTTCTGAAGTTTTTTAAAGGCTGCATAATATTTAATCATATGGATGTACATTTATGTATTTAAGTATTAATTTTGCTGGATATTTGTTTCTTTTTTTCTCTTTCTGGCCACACTGCATGGCTTGTGGGATCTCAATTCCCTGATCAGAGATCAAACCCGTGCCCTCAGTGGTGAAAACTCAGAGTCCCAACCACTAGACCACCAGGGATTTGCTTGTTTTTCTTCTTTTGAAACTTAGATGAACCTTGTTGCACACAAACCCTTGTATCACTGATTATCTTCTTAGGACAGATTCCTCCCAGAGCATGAGTGGGCCCAGGGGTCTAGAGGCAGTGAAACTTGTTAGACACACAGCTGGAGCAGTTTGTGCTTGCTGGCTGAGGACGAGCTTGCTCCCCTGTGACATCACGAGCACTGACTCGGGGGGCATTTGTTAGCCTGTGGTCCAGATAATCAGGTCACCGTCCACGCTGTTGCAGGGTGGCGTTTGCTCGTCACAGAAGAGTTGCCTGTGGGTGGAGTGTCTATTTAGAGGAGATGGCAGCCCCCAGGTTCCCAGGATGGGGATGCGGAATCTGGGCGGCTGCCTGGACTGCGTCCCTGGCGAGGTTAGCTTTGCGTGCTCCGCTCAGGGTGCAGTTGACCAGCTTCCCGGGGAGCTTCTCTGCAGGACCCTGTGAGTGTGCGTCCCCTCCAGGGGTCCCCGCTGCACCGTGTGTCAGCACGTGAACCTGTGTAATTGCCTTCCCGGCTGGCCTGCACGTGCCCTGGTTGTCGCAGCAACTGCCATTTCACTGAGTCCTGACTGTCTTTCCAGCACGCTGCTTCAAATGCTTTCCATTTAATTCTCACAAAAACCCTGTGAGGTGGGTGCAGTGGAGGAAGCTGAACGTGTGCCGGACGAGGTCTTGGCCTTGGTGGCTCGGTCGGCAGGGCCACAGCTGCAGAGCCTGAGCTGTGTATGAGACGGGGTCGAGGGGGCCCTGGCCGAGGGCACAGCCCGGACAGAGGCCTCCAGTTTATCCTGACCATCTTCCTGCCCCAGAGGCCCAGTGGACGGAGCGGAGGGCCGTGGGAGATGTCAGGAGCCAGACCCTGTGGGTCGTAGGAGGAGCGGCTGTGAAGATGGAAAAGGAGCTGACTGGCCCAGAGGGCGTCAGTTGGCGGGCACTGGCAGGAAGCAGGACTGTGAGCCTAATGGAAAACATCCGTCAGGGCTGCGCTGGGCTGGCGGCTGGAGTGCGTCTTCCCAGAGCCTCCCGGCAGCAGCAGAAGCGACCCCGGCACTGAGCAGAGCTCCGTTCCGAGTCCATCAGGCTGCTGACGGCTCTGCTTGTGAGCGTGAGTCAGACAGCGCTCGGCTGAGCTGCGTGGGTCACATGGGGCAAATTAGCTTCACCAAAAATAACCCCAAAAACAGCATTTCTGGGAAGCACAAGTGAAGACAGCTTTCAATGTAAACAAAGGACCAGAGAGAAGATAGAGGCTGGGTTGAAAGAAGTGAACGTTTGGAAAACTAGGAAGAAATGCTTCAGAAGTGCCAAGGAAAACAACTGTTTTTTTTTTTTTTTTTTTCTTGTTTCAGTTTTAGTTTTCTTTCCTGTATTTATGTAGGATGCAGTGCATCCATCCTGCTGGGTAACTCCAGGGTTCCACGTGCAGTCAGGACTGAGAACCAGAGTCATTTCCATGCCCCCACCCCCCGCCCCAGGCTTTACTGGCTGAGTTCTCCACCTCAGCGTTCACCAGAGGAGCTGAGGACACTGCGGTCCATTTTTGCAGCCCCCTCCCCAAAGACTGTGAGTCTGGAGGATGGCGTCCTGAGGACTCAGGCCAGTTGGGCTGTTGGAGGCTGGGCAGAGGTATGTGTGTCTGCTCCATGCGGAGAGGTTCCTCATGGGCCAGCAGGGCCTGCGCTTCTGTTAGCGGTTGCTGAGACCCTCCATCTCCCTCTCCTTAGGACCAGGACTTAGAATTACCCGCCAGGGCAATTCTCGTCAGCCTTGTTCCCTAAAGTTGTTCCCTAAAGTCGTATTTACTGTTTGATATTTAAAATCTTGCTCTTTGAGTAACTTTGTTGTGGCTCAGTCGCTAAGTTGTGTCTGACTCTTTGTGCTGGACTGCAGCACACCAGACTCCACTATCCCCTGGAGTTTGCTCAAATTCATATACTTTGTGTTGTACCTGTCCGTGCTTGTATCTTATTTAATAAAGGAGAAGTTCATTTGTGGAATATTCTGATCATTGTATGATAAAAGAAAACTTTGCTCTACCTAAAGGAAATAATGCAAATTAAACTACAAATATAAGTAATTGGAAAATGTAACTGTCTTACAGCGTTTCGGTAAATGTTATCAAATGAATGGACTTTTTAGAGGAGTGCTGGAGCGGGGGGGAGGGTTTTCTTCCTTGAGTTCTGTAAACTTGCAGATTAGCCAGACCTGCGGAGTTACTGAGCTTGTGTGGGTCCTCGCATGTGGGGAGGGGACCCCTGCACAGCTGGGGCCTTCTTGGGTCAGAGGCTGGCCCCTGGGAGTAGGTGGGGTCGTGCCTGCTGTGGCCTCCCTGAGCTCTGTCTGTGGGGGCCTGGGTGTCCTGTCTTCCGAGGTGGCTGGTGCGATCTGCCCAGCTCCACCTGCCCCAGGCCCTCCAACTCTGCCCGGTGCCCCGGCCAGGCCTGCAAACAGCAGGGTTTGTGCCACTGCGCGCGCGCTCCCCCGCCCCCCCGCTAGCCGGGCAACAAGGTGAACCAAGGACAGTGGCGGCCTGAGAGCTTCCTGTATGCATCTCGCGTCCCCTCCGGGTCAGGTTTGGGACCAGAAGTCATGCCCCTTTTTCCCAAACCTTCTCTTTGGCTGTGTGTGAAGCACCGTGTTTCTCCAACTTTTAAAACTTGCTGCTTTTGGTAAACTTTAAAATCGTAACTTTTCTGTACTGTCCTTTTAAATGGTGAGTAGGAAGACATTAAAGCATTGGTCATTTTCATTCCTCTAAATCCTAAAAGTAATAAATACACTTAGCTATAAAAATTTTCAAATACTGGTCGTCATTGGGGGAAAAGTAAAGGTGCTGCCCTCCCCCACCAGCTCCCAAGGACCCCCGTCCCCTCCTCTCTCCCCCTGAGGTCCCTGTAGAGTCCGAGGTAGCCTTCGGGGGTCCTGGCTGTCTGTAAACCTAAGACAAGGGAGTGGAGATGGGGCAGCCCTCCTGGCTCCTGTCGGGAACTTGGTGTAGGCTGAACCCGCACAGCCAGCATAGAGTGGGGGGCTGTGGGCGTCGGTCCTTTTTTCCCGGGTCTCTATCAGTAGCTGTTCAAGGTGTTTTCAGTGTTTCACTGTTACAGTGAGCATGTCCGCCTTCCCCCTGCCGACACACATCGTTCTCACGTGTGAGTACTTTGTATGACAACTATCCAGAGATGGGATTGTAATGTATTTCTAGAATATTCTTTTTAAAAATGCACCCCCAAATAGATCCAGGTCTATCCTGTTCTCTCCTGTTTTTGTTAGAGCATTTTATTACTTTTCAAGATTTATAGGACAGTGTTAAGTCCTGCTTTGTAATTAATAAGAAACTGTGATTTGAAGAACTAAAGAACCAGGTTTTGGCTCAGATAGGATTTGTGACGGCTTAGTTAACAGTTCACCCGGCGAGTGAACCGCTGGCACAAGACATTAGCCCCCATGTCTGCTCAAACTGGGATGGCTTTACATTTCAGTGGTGAGTGGTGGACTGCTCAAAGTTTTGTCTTCCACCAGAAGTGCTCACGCTAATGACGACTGTTTTACAGAAAAATTGGAAGTTACAGTAAACATAAGTGACTTTCAAATAAAAATGAAAATCCTTGCACGTGAACTAAATTTTGGAAGAAAATAAATTGATTCTGACTTTGTCCCCGCAGGTCACGCCCAGGACGGAGCCCCCCGTCAGCAGCGTGGGCAACAGCTTGGAGAACGCCCTGCACACATCCACACATTCCACTGAGGGGTCGCTGCCCAAGAGGCCTGGAGGGAAACTGTCCAGAGGTGAGCCACGGGACCACAGGGAGGATGGGTTGTGGGGAGGAGCTGAGGGTCATGATATTTGGCTGGATGCTTCCAGATGGTTTGAAAACGCTAGTCTTAGATGTATTATTTTTTCTGAATTCCGCAAGTTATACACGGATGTGTCTCGACTGTAGAAATCTCAGTCTTGATGTTTATTAAGAGGAAATCAGTGAACGTTATCATGCGCCGCCCCGCCAGGGCTCCTGAATTGAGAACAGTGCTTTGTGCAGTGACGCACTATTGTCTCCACACTGACGTGGTTGCCACCAGCCCCACGCGGGGCCCGCAGGACTGAGGGCCTGAACTTGTAGTCTTATTTCATCGAGTTGCAGTTGCGCTGGCTCAGCGTGGACAAGGCAGCTCTTCCTGGTTCTCGGCCGTCTGGCTTTGTGCGGCCACAGTGGACAGCGTCAGGCTGGTGGCCCCCTGGTGGCCTTGGGGGGCTCACAGGGACAGGATGGGGCACAGCCCGCAGGGCCCCTGGCTGCTCTCACTTCCCAGTTTGGAGCTGGGTGAGGATGCCAGCGGTGCTGAGTCCTCACACCTGTGGCTGTGGGCCTGGATGGCTGCCCTCCTCATGGCCCTGGGAGCAGCAGTCAGCTCGTTTCCTGGGTTCCGCTGGAGCCTCAGTCGTCCTGAAGGCAGCAGGGCCTCTGTTTCTGGGTGGGTAGTTGTCACTCGCTGAGCAGAGGGTCTTCCTTCGGCATGTTGTTATGGGGGAGGTGCCTCCCGGTGGGCGTTGCTTCCTTGGTCCCCAGCCTGTCCAAGTGGAGCCTGTATCTTGTACCCTCGCAGTCCTAAGGGGAACGGCCACTTCTTCACCATCATGCTTTTCTCCTGTCAGCATAATTATCAAGACCCCTCATTCCTGTGTTTTAATGTAATTGCTGGTTGAACAGTAGTGTCTGTCTCTTGCCGGGGTGCCTGGTGCAGGAAGGCAGGACTGTGGTAGGACCGGACCTGACTGCTGTCATGACCCTTAGAAGATGCAGTAAGCCAGACCTTGCTGATTATCCGCAGTGGTCTCTGTTCAGTGGTCACAGGTAACCATATTTCCTCTACCGTGAAACTGACCCAGCAGGTCAGTCATTGGTTTATTGTTCATGCTTTCCCCAGTACCCTGTTACTGCTCTTCGGAAAGCCTGAAGCCACTCCCAGCGTTACTAGTTTTCTTATTGTTTTTTCTGTACCCCACTTCAGTTTTGGATTGTCTGTGCTTTTTAAAAGTCTTCAGAGACACAGTTCACCTTATAAAGAGGTCAGACTTCTGTGTTTCTTCAGATTACAGCTCAGGGGACATCAGTAAGGACAGTCTGAAACCCTGACTAGTCTTAGAAGGTGGTCCTAGCTTGTTACATACATTAACCCACCCGATCTTCCTAAGACCCTGTGGGACTCAGGTATAAATACCTGGTTCATTGTAACCACAGTGCCCATTTCAGACAGGAGAACTGAGTTGTGGTTAAGCAGCGTTCCTAAGATAACACTGGGATTCCAACCCTGAGATCCCAACACTTGGTTAAACAGAAGAGACTAGAAAAGGAAAGCCATGCACACATTAGGCAGAAGCCTTACCTTTTTCTCTGTACTGTTGACAGAAGGTTTTCAGACTTCCTCGGGAAGCCACCTGGCAGTTCACGGGAGCCTGCCAGGTGATGCCGCAGCCCCACGGAGCAAGCTGGTGCTTGTTCTGTTCGGGGATTAAATAACGGTGCCCAAGGTCATGCAGCTGGGGTGTCACAATTCACACAGATGGAGACTGCAGAGCCCCTGGTCTCCCCCTGCCCTGATGCATGGGTCCTGGGCCAGCCGCCTGCCCTGGCCTCCTGTTCCCTGTCTCCGCCACCACTTTAACTTCCTCCCAACACAGGTGCTGTCACCCCTGGGCCTTGACTGCGTGTGGCTCTGCTCAGCAGACCCTTCCCTTCCCTTTTAAAGTCTTGGCCCACAGTATTGCTGTGGCCTGAGTCATTCTTCCACCACTCAACGGCCACTGCGGGGCCTCATGCATACGAAGGCTGAACAAACGCTTGCCTTAACACACATAATAAACGTACATAAGTGAATTCCTCAGGTTCCTAAGTTCAAGTGCAGTATCGCTAACCATCCAAATGGAATATGCATTCGTATCCTAATTTTCTACTTCAGATGTATCTTTTATCAGCTTTATGTTTTCTGGATCATGTTCAACTTTTGTTTATATCTTTCTGGAGAACTAACAAATCAAAATCAAATTAATGCAAGGGAGCTAGATGATAAAAAAATCAAAGAAAAGTAAATTTATAGAGTTCTTAAATTCATATAACATGACCTAAAAAGATGTAGAAAAGAGGATCAGTTTAATCAGCATAGTAGTTCAAATTTTAACAACAGTTAAAGTGTTTAAAAAAATTATTCCCATTAACACAGATGACTGAATGCTAAATGAAAGTGAGAAAGTAAATTGATATTTAGGAACATTATTCAGCTGAGACTTTTAAGAATACAGCTTTTAAATTCTTAGATGAATACTAGGTTTCAGTAATAAAACTGTAAAGCTGGAAGCATCTTAAATATTATTCTAGTTCCATTTCTTTAAGTATGAGGACACTGAGTTCTGTTGTATGGAGCTTGAGAGAAGGTGTTGTGCTAGAAAATGATCATTTTTCATCTTTTCCCTCACTCATCAATAAAACCCTTTTTACTGTGCTTTCTTTTAGCTTTGGGTTTGGCATAAAATTGGTTTCTTGTTATTGACTGTACCAAATTAAGCTATTTAATAAAGATACACTGAAATCAAGTAAAACATATAATTAGCAGAAAACTGACGACAACTCGGCTTTTTCCAGAAGTCTTTAGGGTAGAAAGGGAAGTATTTCAGAGGAGAGCCTCCTTCTTGGGACATATTAAAGTCATTATCTTGGGCTGTCCTGTTCTCTCCTGCGACGTGGCCCTCAGCTCCTGGGGATTGTGTGACAGCACTTGGCAGCGAAGGTGGCTGTAGGCCGTGGAGGTTTTAGCAGGCACTCCCAAGCTGGAGTCGGGAGCGTGTTCCTGGACCTGGCGGTGTGGCTGCTGGAGGGGGTCATTGACCCCGCCGGACCCCGCTTGGGCCTTCCAGGGCGCCTGCCTGCACTCTTACCACGGTGCATTTTATGGTCTTATCCATGCAGCTCGGCCTCCCTCCTTTCTTAGTGACAGTAGTGCTCTGGTTTTTTAATTAGGCATGGATCCAATTATAAAAATGGGAGTTCAGTGCAATTACACATCTTATTGAAGGCTATGTGCTCTGACTTGTAAGATTTGAGAACTGCTGGTGTACAACTTGAATAAGAAAAAAAGAAAATTTGAACCCAGGAAATGTTGAAAGGAAACAGCACACTATCATATACTGTTTCTCCATGTGGGAGCAGGCTGGTGGCCACAAGCCGGAGTCCCACTGCATGCCCTGCCCAAACCCCTTCACAGTCTGGGCCCCGGGGAGGTGCGTTCGTCCTGGGTGCTCTTCCTGCCCAGCCCTGGGGGTCTTGGGGGTCTTCCCAGTTGGCACTAATGCTGTCTTGAGCTGTGTTCTCTTCCTCAGATGATGGTTAGGTATCCAGCCACTCAAACTGACACAAGCTTTTTGCTTACACATTTCAGAAAGGAGTGGGGCTTCGCGTGTGACATGACCCAGTCTGCAGGCTCACAAGGGTGGCAGGAGGAAAGGGGGGCCTTGTCTACCAGTGGGCTTTCAGTGGGCCATCAGCAAACATGCGTGCACACAGGTAAACACTCTAAAACCATGAAACCACACTGCAGGGATGTGGCAGGAAAACTACCCATAACTCCACCACCAGGCACAGTTAAGTTAACCCTGTCACTTTTGATCATTTATTTTCAGTCTCTCTTTGTTTAACATTTTAAACAACTATAATCATGTTATACATGCAATTTATAATATTTCAGGTAACAGGATAAGCACTTGTTCATGTTTTTATTGTTATAAACGTGGTCTTTAATAGTTCTGGAGTTGAGAGTGTCTTACACATCTTTGAAGCCCAGCTGAACACACCCAGCCTGGCGCTTGTGCTGGCCGCCGTTGCCGCCCTCACCTGCTGCAGAGCATCCCCCTGCCCCAACCCCCTGCCCCCATCGGGCTGTCCTCCCACCCTCAGAGCCCTGTGCGGCCACAGGTGTTGCTTCCAGGGCGGGCGGTACCAAGAGGAGACAGCAGGTCTTGTCCGTGTGTTTGGTCCAGAGGCATCCTGGCGGAACCGGGGCTGGTGATGCAGACACAGAACACTATCCGGTGGGCTGGGGGCTCCAGAGAGGTCTCGCTAACATTTCAGACCTCTGGTCCGAAATGCCTCTTTGATTTGAAAACAGCTGAGTAACATTCATCTGCTTTTCACATTTTCCTGTCTAGATATGAGTCACTTCCCGCCTTCAGTCCAGTTAGGGTTTTTTCTTTCTGCTTTTTCTCATAAATCCTAATATTCAGCCCTGGAACTTGCAGGTACACGTTGGTGTTCTGTGGCCCAGGAAAACGCCAAATAGGCTTTTCTGGGTTCGTTGACTTTGTATATTCTATTGTCTAAAGAAGTGAAGGGTCTGGATTAGAATGAGATCATTGTGCGTAAGTTTTTAAAAACAGTGATTGGGAGAGTGTAAGAGCTGTTTATTTGCTGACAGTCTGCCTGGGGAAGTCAGACAGGAACAGCGGGCAGTTTCACTGAGCGAGGTCGGGCAGTGCACAGCTGCTAAACGTAGTGTTTTGTTTTGCCAGAAAGGAAGCAAACGTTCTTGTTTTTTTTTAAAGAGTAATTCCTTCCTGTGAGATGCTATTTTAAGTTTAAAATACTCTAAACCAAATGGGTTCTAGTGTCTCCCACGATCTGTATCAACCCTGATACAACTTGATAAATTTATAGAGGCTCAAAAATTCAGGCAGTGGTTTGTGAAGGCAAGGACTCTGGTCAGTGCCGGCCGCCTTGTGCCCAGCCCCGGAGTACGGCCCAGCACACAGTAGGCGCTTCATAAGACAAGTTGGTAAATGAACAAGTTGTTGGTTTAGGGCAGGGGTTGGCATGTTGTTTTCTGCGAAGCTCCAGGTGGTTTGTGTTTCTGGATTGGGGAGGAGGTGTGTGGAGTCTGGCACCACTACTGGGCTGTGCTGTCGGCAAGTGGTGAGCACCTTTGGCGGTGCATCAGCCCACAGTGTGGCTCTGCACCCTGGAGGCGGTCACACCAACGGGCCGAGGGCTGCCTGCAGCCCACCCGCCCCTGACTTTATAATGCTGCCCAGTAGAACTCCCTGTGATGACCAGGGTTCTGGGTCTGCTCAGCGTGGCAGCTACTGGCCATGCGTGACTGCCAAGTGCTTAAAATGTGGTTAATTCAACTGAGGAATGAGATTTTTAATTTTATTCAATTGTAATTAATACCAATGTAAGTGGTCCCATGGGGTCAGTGGCTGCAGTAGTGGGAAGTACAGGGTTAGAACCTTCCCGAAGCCTGGTGCCCAGAGTTGCTCATATTATGGGAGGAGAGAGTTCTGTGGCCAAAAAAAAAAAAGGGCGGGGGGGAATGTGGTTAATAAAAGTAGATTTTTTTGTCACAGGACTTCTCAGAGTCTTTAATATAATCACGTTCATGGGCAGTCTACAAAAAGGAGTTTCTTAGATTTTCCCCCCAAACTTTTGACCACGAAACCTTCTGGGGGTTGGCCTTGAACATCTTACAGAGTGGTGTTTGCTGGAGAAGACTCAGGATGTGTGGCCAATCAGGAGATTGGGCGTCTGCAGAAAGTGTGACGTGATAGTTTTGTGGGTTACACTGAGTGTGTCAGGTTAGACAGGTGTTGAGGATCTGCAGATACGCCCATAGTACACAGCCAAGCGACCTCCAGGAACATGGGTGAAAAATTAGGAAGGTGTGTATGCTGTTCATGCAGGAAAGCCTCTCTCATTCTCTGGGGTCTTTCCAGAAGAGGTGGATTGTCTGACTGTTGCACCTGCCAGAAGTTCATAAGCTTAAAGAAGCAAGCAGTTAAATGAGTATTTGAGATGCATTCGTGTTTGAATCAGCAACAGGACGTACATACCTGAGTGTGATTTGGGGGTTTGGAAACTAGATTATGTTTATTAAGTGCTGTTTTATTTTCAAAAATATTTGTGCTTGAATATTTGCATTTTACAAACTTAATTTGCATCTTAAAACTTAAGTGTTTACAAGCTAATTGTATCATTTTCTTAGGAGAGAAAAAAAAGCACCCGTGCGAGGGAACGGGGAGGCCTGAGGAGGTGATCGCTTTGGGGCTGTCTGACGGGACTGTCTTCTCCGGTCCTGCCCACCCGTGCAGCCGTGGCCCCTGCTCTGTAGGACCGGCGCTAGGGGTCCGGGAGCCTGCTCCACAGGTGCGGTCCTCGCACCTACAGCCTGGCCCGACGAAGGCTCTGGGCAGCTGCGTCTCTAAACAACCAGAGTGGGAGACGTTGCGCTTTAGTCTTTTAGGGATAACAGAGCATAACTAACCTTCAGTTACAGTTATCATCCGTTGCCCTCTAGCAGGCAAAGAAACGTATGTTCTTTTCAAGCACCGATCCCTTTTTATTGATGTGTTTTTATATTTTCCCGGTATTTTCTGTCTCACGAGCAACTTTGCCCTTATTCTGAGCTCGGCCTCCAGCCTCCCTCGTTCCTGACGAGCTCTCTGTGGAGGAGACGGCGTGGGGCGCTGGGAACTTTCCTGTGAAAGCTGCTAACATACCGATCAATGCAAACTAATCATGTATACTTCAAGCTTTTATTTCATTTTTATAATTCTGTTTGTTGTTTTTTTGTTTTGTTTACTTTTACAGTGAGTGTTGAAAAGATAGACCTGAAGGGATTATCACACAAAAAAAATGAAAGAAATGTTGAATGTTCCTTTGAGGTAAGATACTAAGTTTTTTTCCCCTTTTCTCCTCTAAGGGATAGGAACGGAATATTTACTACGAAGCAGTACTTTTATTTATCTAAATAAAAGACGGGTCTTTTTGCAAAGCTCGGTACCAATGCTATGGGAGATAGAAGTGGGGCGGCTGGGCCCTAGGATGAGCTTGTTGGGGCTGCTTGCTCTCCATTGACGGGGAGGGTCTGGGCTCGGGTGCAGCCTGGAGCTCACAGCCCAGTTGTGTCCCTGTTAGCTGTGTGACCACAGACAGTGCTGAACCTGTCTGTGTCCCGGCACCTCCGTTCAGTGAGAGGCTGGAGTCTGGGGGAGTCAGTGCCTGCAGAGATGAGCCGTGATCCTCTGCACCTCCTGGATGACAGAACCTCTTTGGTGGGCTTGGGGGGAATGTGCTCTGGAGACATACTTGGCTCCTGGTAGTTAGTCACCTGATCTGGCTACAGTGGAGAATTGTGAAAATTGAGGCATACTGTTTATCAGGCCCTTGGAACCCCACTCACAGCCAGTCTGCTCAAACTGGGTTTAGATTCAGCCCCCATCCTCAGCCTCTCTATAAAGCAGTGAGCTTGGGCAGGGTGGACCCTTGGCCTCTCCCCAGATGAGGGGCTTGTGACCAGGATCGGGGCAGCAGGCTGGCAGACAGGGACATCCCGAGTCTTCTGGAGGCCCAGCAGACAATTCCAGAAGGCTCCTTGGAGGTCTGTCTCAGCTCTGAGCTTACTGTCTCGTGTGGTTATTGTTGAGTTTTGGACGTTTCTACCCAGATGCGTGAGCTGAATGAAATGTTTTAGTGTTTAAAAAAAACCTTTGGTTATCTGGAAGGTTACTTCTCCTGATGAGATAACTGATAAGCACACTCTTGTGTTTTGGACAGTGATAACCCTTCACCAGCCAACAGTTCAGCTATTTTTTTGGGGGGTTGGGGGGGTGGGGGTTACTAACCTGATGTGCCTTCGGGGATTTACAGCCTGTTTGTCGGATGGTGATTTGAGGTACTAAGGAAAGATGAAATGAGCATTTAAAAGCACACAGTGCTCTCATTTATGAGGCGTGCTGCTCCTTCGTGCAGCCTCAGCCAAGTGTGCTCTGTGCAGAGAGATGCCCTCCTGCTTGTGACTCAGCTAAGTGGCCGCCTGTGGGGGGTGAGTGTGTAACATGCATGAGCTTTGCTTTGGGCATCCCATCACGCTAGAAAGGTAAGGCGCCTTATGGTTGCCTAGCTTCCAGGCTTTAACCAGTCTCTAGCTGGCTGTGGTCAGAGCTACAGTTCTGTAAAAAGGAAGGACCATGGACCCTGTTGAGAACATCTCTGCTCATACCTGTAAACTTCTAAATTCTTTGTCATCTCAGACAACCATCTGCAAAAGTAAGTCCCAGGAGCATTTTTCTGTTCTAGAAATCAACAGGATGATGCTAAAATTTGCATGGAGAGAATTCCCTGGTAGTCCAGTGGTTAGGACTTGGTACTTTCAACGCCATGGCCCGCGCTCAGTCCCTGGTTGAGGAGCTAAGATACTGCATGCTGTGTGGTTCAGCCTATATAAATAAGTGAAGGAATAATAAATAGCATGTATATGGAAAAAACTACAGAGCAGTCAAAACACTTTTGAAACGAGCAAATTGGAAGCCTCACTACCTGATCTCGGCACTTGTGTTGAAGTGCAGGGGCCCTGACGCTGAGGTGCTGCTCAGAGGTGTAGGGGCCACCCCTGGGCCAGAGCTGTTCTCACATGTACATGGTCATTTGACTGTTTGGAAGACTTTGGGAGAATATCATTGGCATTTTTAAAGATGAAACATTTTTAAAATTTTCTAAGCGACTTTCTTTTTCACACCTCTGATGAGACAGGTATCACATACCATAAAATTCATCCATTTTAAGTGTTCAGTGTTGAGACCTCCCTGGTCATCCAGTGGCTAAGACATCTGCGCTCCCAGTACAGGGGGCAGAGTTCGATCCCTGGTCAGGGAACTAGATCCCCCATGGCACAACTAAGGCCCAGTGCAGCCAAATAAATTTTCTAAAAAAAATTTAAAGTTCAGTGTTTTTACAATTTATTCAGAATTCAGTAACCATGGCCACAATTTAATTTTAGTATTTCTATTACCCCAAGAAGCCACACACCTGTTGGCAGTCATTGCCCTCTTCTCCTCCCCAAGTCCCAGGCAGTACTGATCCCATTTCTGTCTCTGGGTTTGCCTGTGCTGCGTGTTTCTCATGAGTGCAGTCCGTACAGTATGTGAGCTCTTGTGACTGGCTTCTTTTGTGCAAATCACGTTTCTGTGGCTCATCTGCGTTGTGTGTGTACCGGTACTTCCCTTTTGGTGGCTGAGTGAGTCTCACTGTGTGGATGCACACACTCTGTTTGCTCACTCAGCAACTGGTTGGTACACTTCTGGGTTGTTCCCACTTTTTGCCTCTTACGGGTAATGCTACTGTGAATATTTGTGTACAGGTTTCCATGTGGACAAATGCTTTCATTTTTCTCGGATATATACCTAGGACTGAAATTACCGGGCCTTTTGGCTTACAGATGTTTTCTTCCGCTGTGTGGGAATTTATTTCATGTTCTTGATGCTGTCCTTTGACACACACAAGTTTTGACTTTTGATGAAGTACCATTTACCTACTTTTTCTTTGGTTACTCGTGCTTTTTGTGTTTAAGAAATCTTTGCCTAAGCCAAGGTAATAAGGAGTCATTCTTGAGTTTTCTGATAAGAGTTTGATTGTTGTGGAATTCCCTGGCAGGCCAGTGGTTAAGTCTCCACGTTCCCAAAGCAGGGGGCATGGGTTTGATCCCTGGTTGGGGAGCTAAGGTGCTGCATGCTGCTCGACGTGGCCAAAAAAACAAAAACTGGAACTGGGACCCTCAGAAGGACAAAGGCTGCTCGGGCACCATCAATCAGGCTTAAGTTCCCTCCTTGCCCCAAGTGCTCCATATGTGTTCTGGGACCAGCAGCGTTCTGATGAGGCCAGAGCAGCTCAGGCTCCCACTGCTTGTGGCTCCGCTCGGGGTGGCCCTGGGCTGGGTTTGGGGTCAGCAGTGGTGACTGCTCCGTCCTGCAGGCCAGGCCTCCTCCGCTTTGGGCTAAGGCCCTGGATGCCACACCACCCTGGTCAATGATTATTGACAAAGCTATAAAGGCAGTTCAGTGAAGAAAGGTTGGTCTTTTCAACAAATGGTTCTGGAGCAGACAACCATATGCAAAGAAAAAAGAATCTTGATCAAACCTCACCTCTTGTATAGAAGTTAACTCAAAACTAATTTTGGACCTAAACATAAAGCATAAAATAGAACTTCTAGAAGAAAGCACAGAAAAAAGATCTGTGACTTAAACAGGCAAGTATTTCTTAGGTAGGATACCAAAACATGATCCATATTAGACAAAATGAACAAGTTATGTTTCATCAGAATTTAAAACTTGCTCTTTGAAAGGCTCTGTGGAGAAAATTCAAAGACAAGCCACAGAATTAGGAGAAACATATTTGTAAATTATGTGTCTGTTAGAGGATTTGTATTCAAACTATAAAAAGAACTCTCAAGAACTCAATGATGAGAAAATAAGCCAATTAAAAATGCACAAACATTTTACCAAGAAAGATGTGTGGATGGCAGAGAGCACACGTGAACAGATGTGCTGTGTCATTAGCCATTAGGAAGAGACCAGTTAAAACCACTATGAGCTAGTGGTGCCTGCCCATCAGAATGGCTGAAATCCACAGGACTGATCACACCAACTCCTGGCAGGTATGTGGAAGGACTACCCTGGGAGCATAAAACTGTGAAACTACTTAGGGAGACTGGCAGTTTTTTAAAAAAGTTAAACATACTAAAATATGACTCATCAGCCCCACTTCTAGGTCAGTACCCAAAGGAAATGAAAGTATGTGTTCATACAAAGGTTCGTCCATGAATGTCTATAACAGCTTTATTCGTAAGGCCCCAAATACCCATCGCTGGGAGACTGGGCATACACTGTGTACTGTGACCACACAGTGGGCCGTTGGGCATGGAGGAGTGGGTTCCTGATGCAGTATGGACAGAGAGAGCTCCATAATTACGTGTGTGAGAGAAGCCAGGGAAAAAAGAGTATGCTCCGTACGGGTTTATTTAGATACATTTAGAAAATGCTAAATAATCTGCAGTGACAGAAAGCAGGTCTGTAGCTTCCTGGGGAGGGGTGATGGCTATGTCCATTATATTGACCAGAAGGATGGTTTCATGGGTGGATATGTACATCCAAACTGATCAGAGTGTACATTTTATTTATTTTTTATTTTTATTTTTTTTCCATTTTATTTTTTTATTTTTTTTTCATTTATTTTTATTAGTTGGAGGCTAATTACTTTATAGTATTGTAGTGGGTTTTGCCATACATTGACATGAATCAGCCATGGAGTTACATGTATTCCCCATCCCGATCCCCCCTCCCACCTCCCTCTCCACCCGATCCCTCTGGGTCTTCCCAGTGCACCAGGTCCAAGCACTTGTCTCATGCATCCAGCCTGGGCTGGTGATCTGTTTCACCCTAGATAATATACATGTTTCGATGCTGTTCTCTCAAAACATCCCACCCTCGCCTTCCCCCACAGAGTCCAAAAGTCTGTTCTGTACATCTGTGTCTCTTTTTCTGTTTTGCATATAGGGTTATTGTTACCATCTTTCTAAATTCCATATATATGTGTTAGTATACTGTAATGGTCTTTATCTTTCTGGCTTACTTCACTCTGTATAATGGGCTCCAGTTTCATCCATCTCATTAGAACTGACTCAAATGAATTTCTTTTTAATGGCTGAGTAATACTCCATGGTGAGAGTGTACATTTTAAATACGTACATTTCCGTGTCAGTTACACTTCAATAAAACACTTTTAAAAATTACCTGAGGATTAATTTTTGTCCACAAAGCCCTAAATAATTAGGATAAATTGTCCTTTAAATAGGTTGTCTTTTGAACTTGGAAATGAATATCTATTGTACCACGGCCAGAACAGTAAAAACCTTTATTAGGAGTGTCTGCCATACCAGTTAGGTGTGCCCTCTGTTGCTTACAGTGTAGGAAGATTCAGGAAGCAGTTTTTTCTGGAAGCTTTCACTTATTAAGGGAAAAGTCAGCGACACTGCCCGTGCTCCCCTACCCCTGCCCCGTTTTCTCAGCCTTGTTTATCTCTAGTTTTAATTTTTATGTGTCATTGTTTTCCGGGATACAAATGAAAGGTTACTCTTTTATAGGAAGACGTAAGTAACAAATAGACTACAAGTAGGAGTTTGAGTTTCCTGTTCTTTTTTTTTCCATGGAGTTGGTTTTGTATTTGCTGAAGTTGTAATTGCTAGTTACTAGTTACTGTGGAAATCAAATCCAGGAAGCAGATGACAGAATCTTTTAAAATACAAAATGATTTTGTACCCATCTAGAAATGTCCACATTTTACCAGCTTCCCCAAACTCACTGTCGAATAACTAAAACTTTTTTTAAAGTATATTTTTCTTTACTTATTACGCATGAAGGACAGAGTGGGAAAAAACCCCAGAAGATGACCCAAACACTTGAAATGCCTAGCGGACGGGAGAGTTGTATTGACTTAAGAGGCACTGTGGCGCAGTACCAATAAAAACCCCACTCTTCTCATGCCCATCTCTGTTGAGAGCCCTGTTGTTGCTGTCCAGTCGCTCAGCTGTGTCTGACTCTCTGTAACCCCACGGACTGTAGCCCACCAGGCTCCTCTGTCCATGGGGTTTCCCAGGCAAGAATACTGGAGTGGGTTGACAGTACATTTATTTTAGTGCTGCGCCTTTTCTTTAAAAGTTTACTTTCTATCTTGAAACAGTCTTCACTGCCTTGAATGCTTCCTCACTGGTAGCCGAGGGTCAGTCTTGACAACTGTTTCTTGCTTAGTTTTTGCTCCCATCAGCTCCATCTGTGCAGAGACTCCAGTGAACGTGCTCACATCACCAGGGGACACACTTTACACCTTGGTGCTTGTATGACAGCCTGACCGTGTGAAGGTTGTGGTACCTGGGCCGTGTGGTGGATGCCTAGTGCTTTTCCTTTCCCAGTGCTCTGTTCTACTTGGGGTTAATTGTCTCTCTTTGTTGTTGCTTGGGAACAAATACTTGGAAAATCGCTTTGCCCCCTAAGTTTTCCTTGGTTGTGTTCAAATGCGTCCGACATTCCGTTGGTTCCCCTCTGGAGTGTGGCCCTCCCTTTTCCCACCTGGACTCAGGCTGGCACCGTCTCATTGAGGGCCCCCGTGTCTTCATCTTGGGGTCCCCTCTTCCCTTCCAGCTCTGGTTCCCTGCTCTTGGCTCACAGATCACCTCTTGTGCAGGTCATTTCTGCTTCTTGTAGCTTCTTAGAGAAGGTCCTGGGGAGGCACAGGTCCCGACCTTCACATTTGGCAGTGTCTTTATCCATCTGCCCTGACACGTGATTGGGAATACAACTCTAGACCAGCTGTCATTTTTCCTTAGGAGCTTGGAAGCACTTCATATTTCCTATCTTGCAGTATTGCTATTGAGAAGCATGGCTCTGTTCTACAGTTTCTAGTCTAGAAGTTTTAGCACCTTTTCTTGGTTCCAGTCACTCCCACATTTCTCAGAGCCAGACTTGGGTGTAGGTTTCCATCCAGTGTGCTGGGACGCATTAGCCCTTTTTACTTAAGCCTGTTAACTTGGGGACCTTTTCTTGAATCATTCTTTTGATTTCCTCTGACCCATTTTTCTCAGTTTTATTTTGGAACTCCTGCTGTCGGCATATTGGACCTTAAGACTGGCCCTCTCTTTTATTTCTTTTTTCCTCTATTTTCTTTCCCTTTGACTTTTTTGATTTACTCTGTGGAAGAGTCCTTCATCTTCTGTATCTTGAATTGACCTCTGCTGCCCTGTTTTAAACTTTGAAGAACTCTTGTTCCCCAACAGTTCTTTTTTCATAGCATCCTGTTCATGGCGATGCTTTCTCCTTGTAGTTCACAGCAAATATTGTTGATAGTTTTAGCATTAAAAAACAGTTCTGAAAGCATGTGGTCCATGCTGCTTCCAGGCTGCCTTGTCCTTTGTGACTGTTCTGCCTGTCCTTGTGTTTGGCTTCAGAGCTCCTCAGAGGCCTGATGGCAGGTCTAGTGGTGCTGGGCACATGAGGGTTGCCCATATGAGGGCTGTGACCTGAGTAGCAGGGCCTCTTCCTGAGCTGCTGCCCCTGCACCAGTGGGTGCTGAGAGCGAGACAGTGAGTCAGAGGAGTCAGACTCTGAGCGTGAAGAAATACTTACCTATTCTGTGCATACCATGCTTTTTTGTGTATGTTTCAGATACATTGAAATACATCTCTGTAGGTCTCAGTGGCTCTTTGAGTGAGTACAGGTGATAGGAAACGACTGTGCCAGCATTTGATTGGCAGTGTTTTTTCTTGCTGGTACAGGAACTGTGGGTTAGCTTATGACTGATGCTATCCTGGACTTGCTGGATCACGTGTCTCTAGCTTGTAGCAAGATGCCAGGCTGCTCTCCTGGTCCATACCCCTCTGGGGGCTGGCTGGCCTCTCTCTGGCTCAGGTCTGGGTCAGGTCAGCCTGCGATTCCTGCAGAGGTGTGTTGCTGAAGTCAGCTGGTTTCCAGTCCTTGCTTTCTATCTGCCCTGGGTGGAAACATCAACTCCTTTTGGAAGTCAAAGAAGAACATATCAGGAACAGGCAACCTAGAATAGTTGTGCCTCTTTAAATGTAAAATTGTCAGGGAAGCAGATTGTCTGTTTTAATGTAAAATGGTATGTTTGTGCTGTGCTCACCATTTGGGTGTTGGACTTGGTGCTTTAAGTTGAGTTAGGGTGTGTTTGTGCCACATGACATGCAGCATATTTTACTTTGAAAACCGCAGTGTCAACAGTGCTTTGGGTCATACATCTAAAGCTAGAAAGTTCTCACCTTTAATCATGGCTGTTACTGGTGTTTTACGTGGGTAGCAGCTCACTACCCCCAATCTTGTTTTTAGTGTTGTTAAAAGATTTAATTATTTCAAACAGAAAAAAATGGTGTTGGTATTTTCATTTTAGTGTAGGTAGATTTTGGACGGCGCACAGCACATTCATTAAAAAATGCTAGCACTTGCTGTGATGAATTCTAGGAGGCATCGATAATTCAGAGATAAAGGAGAAAAGTTCCTTGTCTTGATTGATTTGTATTTTGTTGGGGCTTGAAAAACACACCTTAATAATTGTTCTGTGTTACGACAGCTCCAGAGTAGAAAGGGACTCGTGTGAATTTCAGCAGGGAGGAGAGGTGCCAGCCCTGAGTTCAGGCCTGGGAGACTGTCAGCAAACATGCAGGAGGCTGGCGGGTAGTGGGAGCTTGAGAGTTGCTTGGTTATCTCCAAGCCCTGGTTTCTCTACGTCAGTGTGCATGTAATGCCTCCCTTTGGGTGACAGAAGACTCTCAGTCATTTTGTTTCCTGACTTGAAATCCTCCAGTGCTTCTGAACTTTAGGGTGAATGTCATGGTTTCACGGTTTAACCTTTCTTGTTCTGGGCCCTGCTTCCCTCCGGTCCCACCTTCTTCCCTCTGTCCTGTCTCTCTCCTTCTGAGTTCAGCTCACGCCTTTCTCAGCACAGGAGAGCCTCTGACAGGCATGTGTGCTGACATAGGTGGAAAATACCGCAGACAGTGCTGGGAAGCCAGCCCGCTGCCCCCAGGAGCTCACAGTCCATTCAGGAGGATGGATATTTGTGGTTGTGAACTAAAACTGCCCGCTGTCACAGGTACATGGAGGAAAAGCATACACATCAAGCTTTGTAGAGCTTCCAGAAAGGCCTTTCTGGTGTTTTCTGCCGAGTTCTTCCCCCGCCCCCTGCAGTGGGAGCTGTTCCTGCTCTCCTGGTCCTGACTGCCCTGGCCTGTGTCAGACTCCTGAGGGCTGCCAGCACGGCCACAGCCCTGAACGTGAGCACTCACTGTTGGACGGGCTTACCTCGAGTCTCGTCTTGACTCCATGTAGACTGACCTGAGCAGGGGGTTCCCCCATGGGGGGCTGTGCACACAAGCAGTCAGGGTCATCAGCGACTTTATGATGCTTTAAGGGGCAACCTTAGACTCCACACATGAGTGACTTAGTGATGTTTGAATAGTTGCGCAAAACAGGAGGTTAAGCTTTAATGGACTGGAGTTCCGTGAACATCTTTTCTATAACATGCAAAGGGGTATATAAATGCACGAGGTTTTTATATATATAAAAGTCTCGTCCCACTGCTGCCATGTCCTGGCTATGACTCCCTGGAAGGTTGTGCTGTGAATTGAGTATGTGGTGTCTGTTTTTAAGGTTTGTTTGTTTGTTTTTAAGGTCTTGTGGTCTGATTCTTCAATCACATCAGTAACCAAATCTTCCTCTGAAGTGACTGAATTTATTTCAAAGGTAAGGTGATTTAAGGGTTCTTAAAAAAATTACACGGTCCCATTCATCATGGTCAAAAGGCAGCCTGACGTCCGTGGATGCTACCTTGAGCCAGGGCAGTGAGTGCAGGGTGGGCATTCCCACTCTGGTGGGGCGTGTGGTCCACACTCTTTCCCATTGTTGAAAACTAGTTGGGGCAGAAAGATGTGAGTCTGCGGGTGCCAAGGGCTGTTTGGCTGGTGGAGGTTTGTTGCTTTCCAGCCACGGCTGAGGGAGGGGCTCACATGGGTGGCAGTGGGCAGAGACTTCACCTGCTTCCACCTTTATGTGTTTACATATTGAATCTTCCTGTTTGTTTTTATTTTTTCAAATATTTAAAAAAATTGAAAGGCAGATGTTGTACATCCTGCTTGTTTTCAAATTGATTCAACAAAAACTGTTTCAACAACAAGCTGCACTGGTAAATACTTCTTTACCCCCATACACACATATGCGTCCACACACGCCTGCATGTTTAAAGTCGCCCGGCCTAGCCTGTGCCAGGCGGTGAATCACTGTCTTAGCCATAGTCGAGCATCTGAGGTGGCCACCTTCGTCGAGTGGAGCCAGCACGGCTGCGGTGCCTCCAAAGTGCAGCTGGCAGTTTGATTATACGATGAGGGAAAACATCCCATTGGAGAAGATCGAGCTGAAAAGCTTGGACAGAAGTTGCTCAATCACATCTCTGGTTTTGGCCTGCCCTGCCCTGAAGAGTGCCATAGGCCTTCTTTCTAGGGCTCTGGGTCCTGCCTCGGGCTCTCCCATCCCTCTGCAGCATGTAGACCACTGAGTTTCCTCTCCTCTGGGCCTCCCCACTCGTTCTGTAGTAAGGCGCTTCTCTGGACTCTGCTCATGCTGGCAGACCCTGCTGCTCTTGTCTGGCTATCTGCAGCAGCTGACACTCGCCTGGTTTCGGGTCCTCTGCCCTTCTGGGCCTCTGCCTCACTGTTGTGTCCATCACCTCCTTCAGTATTTCTTCTCCACTCTCTCCTCCTGGGCCTTGAGTTACGTGCCTTGGCCCTGTCTTCGGGTTGAGGGATGTTTCTCCTCAGCTCTGTCCAGGTTGCTGAGGAGCTGAATTCTTCATCTCAGGTACCATAATTTTAGGGGTTTTTGTTCATTTTCAAGTCATCTAATAGCTCTGATATCTGGGTTATTTCTGAGTCTGGTTCTGATGAGTATCTTGACAATCGATTCCCACCTCTTTTTTATCTTATAATTTTTGATTGAATGTTAGACATCATGTCTAGAACTAGCCGGGAAATGGAATCCATCAAACCATTAGTGCGGCTTCAGGTTAGTCTTGTCAGGAGCAGAGCTGGGTTTGGGTTCCCCCGGGGAGACCTGCTGGTCCCTGGAGCCTTGAGAGGAGTGTGGCGTGGTCTTGCCTCACCTGTGGGACAGAGGGTGTCTGTCTGCCCCGCTGATGCCACTCCCAGGGAGGGTGCTGTTACTTGTTGCTGGTGATAGGTTTGTGGTGGGCATAGGGGCTCCCCGTCCTGGTGCAGCCCGAGCTCCAGGCACAGGGTTGGGGCCGCTTCTCAGCGTCACTGCCCTTCCCTCCCCAGCAGCTGACCTGGTCCAGTCTGTGCTTGTGCAGGCCCTTCCTTGGGGCTGGAGAGGTTTTGTTTTTACCTTCCCTGAGAAATGACCAGTGTCAGGAGGACTTCCTCTTCTTCCTCTTTTCCCAGAGGCAGGAAGGTGTTCTGCCTCATCCCCAGAAACTTGGGGGTTGTGCTTGAGCTCTGGGAGCAGGCGCCATCTCATCCCTCTCCCAGTGGCCTGTGGGCTTCCTGCTTTGGATGGGGAAGCAGGCTCCAGGGGGAAGTATCGGGCTTCCCACCTGGCCCCCAGGATAGCTGTTGCACCCTGTGCCACCTGCAGAGGCTCCCTGCGGCCTGCCGCCCACAGAAGAGAGCTCACAGTCTCCCTGCCCCGTGCCTGGGCTCCTGGCCGGCTGCTGCCTGACCCGCATTCAGCCTGTGGGGCGTGTTTATCTCTGCCCATTTCCTCCGCCCGCTTGTATGGCAGCCGCCTCTTCCTCGTGTTCTGCCGCGGCTGGACGGCTCATGTGCACCGTCTCCTCGGAGGACAGGTCCCTCTTGGAGTTGGGTCGATGTGGTGGCTTTGCCGCCCAGCTCCCTGTGTTGGGGTGGGCTGTGGCTTCCTACGTCCCAGTGGATGCAGAAGCCCAGACTCAACCAGCAGACGCCACCTCCTTGACCTGCCCAGGTGTTTCTCACACTGAGGAGTCCTGGTTCTGTAAAGTGGATTGTGCAATACTTCTTGGGCCTTTTTGTCTCTTTCAGTTGTCTCAGCTGTATCCTGAAGAAAATTTGGAGAAATTCATTCCTTGCTTAGCTGGCCCAGATTCCTTTTATGTAGAGCGAAACCACATGGATCTGGAAGCGGACCTGAGGTAATGCTCCTCTCCCGTCCACCCCCCAAGACCATGGAGAGCAGCCCCCTGCAGCAGCACCGTGTGACTGGTGGACCGACAGCCCTCTGTGGTGTGGGTGGGGCTGGGCCGCCTGGTCACGGAGGGACTGCTCAGGTGACACATGGTGTGGATGCTTCCAGCCTCCTTTTCAGTTACAGAGAATTTGAAGGATCTTAACAACCTGGGCATGCTTTTGAGGATATACAAGTGAAGGAGTTCCAAAGGATATACCACCATGTGCTGTAATTTTGACAGAAATAAAATCTGGTTATTTTTTCTGTCCTGTAGTAGAAGGGATGAAAGGAAGACCTAATAAAACGTCTCCTGGGCCCAGTGTCTCTGGACCCTGAGGGTGTCTTGCACGCTGTCCTGTACATGCTTGCGGAGGGAGCCCTGTTGCCAGGACCCGGGGACTGGGCCCGCCATCGGAGTGGCCCCCTGGCAGCGGAGACCACAGGCCCCATGTTGTGGGCCCTGAGAGACTCTGTTCATACAGTGTAGTACCGTGTAAATGAGGAAAGGGGCTCCAGGAAACACACGAATCCTGCCAAGAACTAAACTGAATAAAACAGGAAGATTAGAGGTTAAGACACTTCTGTTTACTTTTTCTATGATACAAATGTCTCTTAACTGAAAATTAAAATCTCTCTCCCAGTTACTTTTTGGTAATAATACATTTTTATGCTGATAAAACGACTCTGTTTCTTTTTTAGGTATTTGGCTTCATTACCTTCTCATGTGTTAAAAAATGACCATGTTAAGAAATTTTTCAGCACTTCTTCTCCCACCCAACAGCTTCAAAGTCCAAGTGAGTTTGTCAAATGTAATTCAGTAAAAGTAGAAATATTTTTATGGTCTGTGAATGAATTATTTTCATTTTAACTTGCAGGTCCTGGCAACCCTTCCCTTTCTAAAGTCGGTACCATGATGGGCGTGTCTGGAAGGTGAGACTTCTACCATGCAACCAGCACATTTCCAGTCAGCCTTGCTACAGAGCTTCCTTCTCACTGTGTGTCAGTAGTTGTTTCTGGAGTTGAGGCATTCTTGATCTTAGTCTTAACTAGTAATATTGGGTAAGAATTGGATAGAGATAATCCACTTTTTGATTTCCTAAAAAATAGGAAAAAAGGGGTTCTCTGAGCCACTGGAATTAGAATTCCCAAAGACCCTTATTGCAAATGCCAGTTTCTGGGCCCTGTACATTCTAGGAAACTAGAATTTCTGAGAATCTTCATTTTTACAAGCTCTCAGGGAGTGATTGAGCCCATGAAGGGCCAGAGTTGCTGCTCTAGGGGTTCCGCCAGCTGGGCCCCGACAGTGGTTGTGGTGGTGCCCAGGTGACAAGTGGACTGTCACCTGTGTGGACTGACAGCCTTCATTAAAATGGGCTAACCTTACATGTGGTGGGTGTGTGTGCACACACACGCACACACTTGGTCCTACGGATGCTAGTCAGGCAAGGAGGTCTTTAATGTCCCGCCTTTCTTGTTCACCCCCGCACCTGGAGTATGTGAGCACATGATAAATCTGTGGGTCTGCAGTTTAGTGTAGAAGGGGCTGGGACAGAGAGAGATGCTTTTGCTCCTTCCAGCTTTTTGGAATTTACTTTAAAAAGTTTGGAGTCGATTTTAGTATAGGATTGTCAGTATCATCCTATGATAGAAACAACAGAAAGAAACTAGGTAGCTCAACCAGAAGTCTGGCGGTGACACACACATGTGTGTACATGTGCTCAGGCACTGTTTCTAGACAGGTGCACGCACACGTCCATGTCCACACACGGTCACCCGGGGCAGTGGTGTAGTGGCAGAGGCAGCAACTTGAACGCTGGTGGTGGAATCGGCCGCAGACTCAGTCCAGACTGAGGAGCCTGGTCTTGAGTAGAGGCCGTGACTGTTTGAAAACCACCTGTCTGCTGTCCTTGCAGGCCTGTGTGCGGAGTGGCCGGCATCCCATCCTCTCAGGGCAGCGCCCAGCACCACGTGCAGCACTCGGCCAGTGCGGCCGCCTTGCCCCACTGCTCGCACTCGGGGGGCACAGGCTCGGCTCTGGCCTACCGGACCCCGATGGACAGCTCGCCCACCATCCTGATGCCGTCCAGCCTGCAGGCCCCGCAGACCCAGGAGCAAAACGGGATTTTAGACTGGCTTCGGAAACTGCGTTTGCACAAGTATTACCCTGTCTTTAAACAGCTCACGATGGAGAAGGTATGTTGGCAGGCAGATAGAACACGCTTGTTGTCTCCGGTAATCTTTCTTTCTTCGGACCTTGTTCCCAGAGGAACCGAGCTGAGTTTCGGCAGTGTGTGTGTCGTGGAGGTCATGCCACTTGGTCCTTAATACTGCCAGATGCATGCCCCCCAGCTCCCGGGAGCTCACTGGAAGGGGCCGTGGATTTGAATTTGAAGCTGCCTGCAGCTGGAAACAAAAACTGGAACGTAAATTGCTTGTGAACAAACAGCTTTTTAAAGGTAGTTTGGGGTCTTCCCAAGTAGATAACTTGCTGTGTGTGATGTGAAGGGTGTTGTGCCCCCAGCCACCCTGCAGTGGGTGGAAGTAGTAGAGTCTGGTGCTCGCGTCCCCTTTCTTAGACGCCCCTCAGTGCAGGCCTTTTTAAAGGATCCCACATACTTTGACCCAGGTAAACGCTGGCTGATGACCTGGCTTCCTTAAGGGCATATAGCTAAAGGAATAGATGAATTTTGTATTTTTCAAGCAGTCCTACATAGAAATTATTTTTATAATAGAATTTTGACAAGAACCTTTTTTTTTTTACCATTGTTAAATTCTGAAATTTCAAGTTTCAATGTCTCTGATAAATTAGACCTATAGGGGATGTTTGAACTCTGAGCGCCCCCTCCTGGATAAAGTGCTATGGTAGCTTTGATCTCTGTAAACATTTCCTTCGTCCAAAAATCTGCAATTGAAGAACTAGAAATCAAGCTTTTACTGCTAATAAGAAACACATTTTAAGTGTATTTTCAGGACTCTCAGTTTAGGATTCATAAGTCTTAAAAAACAACAGATTTTACTATCCTTGTTCATGATCAGTTTAAAAAGTTGTAGTGTTACGTATGTAGTTGAAAAGGCTAAAATCACAGATGATATTATGGACCGTCACAAGAACCAAGTAGGATATTTTTCTTAGTGTAAGGGCAGTGGGTTAGGTTTCCATTCAGTTTGGATGGCATCTGCTTTTCTGGATCACTTGCTACTCAACAGAGTTGCTGGTGTCCTATGATTCTAAGAAACAAGAGCTGCTAAAGAGGACGATGCTCCTGTCTGTGGAAGTCGGGTCCCTGGAGCAGGAGACACTTCCGTGAACTGCATCCCAGTAGCAGTTGAGACTGCAGGACACTGTCCTTGTCACCTGCCCGCACAGCACTGCCTTCCAGGGGCCCCACCTTCACCCCTCTGTGGTTCAGACACCTGTGCCGAAGGCTCGGGAAACACAGCCTGTGACCCTCAGATGCAAAATGGGTGTCTTGTATTTTGGACTCTGGACACCAAGTCACTTAGCAAGTAAATGTTGTAATGTTTTCCTGTCTTTTATTATCTGGTTAAGTTTTACGGGTTTACGTATCCGAGGGGTCGAATATGTTTATTAAGTTAAACTCCAAGTTCTTTGTTTGCAGAATCCTAGTTATTTCTCAGTAACTTTGTAATTTGTTTCTTCTGTGGAAGTTTCTGAGCCTTACGGAAGAAGATCTAAATAAATTTGAATCCCTCACCATGGGAGCAAAGAAAAAACTGAAGACTCAACTGGAGCTGGAGAAGTGAGTGTGAGATTGTTTATGAAATGTGTTCATTTTAGTTTCTAACATGAGGAACAGATACTAGGACTTGTTACTGCTGGTGGCTTATCAAACCTTAATTAATACTCTTAAAACTCTACAAATGTGGCTTTGGTTTGCTAGCAACGACCCGTTAGAGTGAATCTGACAAGTCAGTTTATCTTCTACCCTGGGGATTATTTTGATGGAAATCACCCTTCTGTGGAATATGTGTACTTAAGTAGGATCTGTGAAGCATTGGAGAAGGAAATGGCAACCCGCTCCAGTATTCTTGCCTAGAAAACCCCATGGACGGAGAAGCCTTGTAGGTTACAGTCCATGGGCTTGCAGAGTCGGACACGACTGAGCGACTTCACGACCTCTCACGTGAAGCACTGAGAGTTTGTTCAGCAGAACTAACACTCGGCTATTGGTGTGCTTTCCTGTCACACAGGGAGAAGTCAGAGAAACGGTGCCTGAACCCCTCGGCCCCTGCCCCAGTCAGCAGCAGTGGGGTGGCCCGTGTGCCCCCCACCAGCCACGTGGGGCCCGTACAGACGGTGCGAGGCAGCCATGCTGCAGGTGGGTGGCCGGGTGTGCCCCAACCCGGGGCCCTTCTGGGGAGGATCAGACCTTAGGTCACACCGCTTTTCCATTTCCATCTCCTAGTACTTAGAGAGTTACTTTTCATCATTTTAGCTCTTGTAGTTTCTGCAGTAGACAAATAGAAGGGACCTTAGGTTCACACGTAGAGACGGGTGACTCGCCTGAAGTTGTTTGGGCAAAAGGTTTAGACCCAGAAACTGCTCTGGTGAGAGGGAAAGAACAGGAAGTGTGAAAATAGATGCCAGTCTCTCCCCTTCACATGGGTGCAGAGAGGTGGCCCTCGGCTGCTGCCCTGCAGGTCCTTGATGCCAGACCACCAGCCTTCTCCCTTTCCCCCTGCCTTCCTCTCCGCACGGGGCGGTGGAGGACCACAGTAACAGCCCTTCTGCTGTTTTCCTTATGCACTAGAAACATCAAGAGTGACAGGAACCAGGAAGAAAAAACTGCCAGTGCATTTTTTCGGTACTTGTTTGACCGAAAAGGTCTTGTGTCCCTGGGCCTCAGCACACAGAGGTCTCTGTTGGTGGAGGGCTGCTCTTGGAGCACCTGTGGTTGGTGCTTCTCCTGGTCTGGCATGTGCTTGGGGAACTGAGGCCACGGCCACGTGTGCATCTGCTGAGCATGGGAGCCTCAACCCTGTGTGTGTAGGGACAGGGTAGGACCTGTCTCCTTGGGGCTGATGTAAAGACAAGCGCAACAGGCATGCCTGCGGGCGGGAGAGGCGGGCACAGTCAGCGCTGTGTCCTGTGGCTCGAGGACCTCAGTGCCACCTTTGGACTGTCACCTGTGCCTTCTCCACAGCGCTGCGGGTGGAGGTGGAGCAGTCCCCTCACCAGACGGCCCGGGAAGGCAGCTCCTCTGAGTGCTCCAGCTCCTCGCCCAGCCCAATGGGCGTGCAGGCCCGGGAAGAGAGCTCAGACAGCGCGGAAGAGACCGACAGACGTAAGGATGCCCTTCCTTCCTACGTGGCTCGTGAGGCACTGCCCCCGCCCGGCCCAAGCAGGCTGTGCTGACGCTGTTTCCACCTCTAGGTGTGGAGATCCACTTGGAGGGCCCTGACAAGGAGAAGCCTGTGATGCTGCTGAACCACTTCACGTCAAGTTCCGCCCGGCCCACAGCGCAGGTCCTCCCCGTGCAGAACGAGGCGGGCTCCACCCCATCGGGCCACCACTCGCTTCCCCCACAGATGATGACGGCAGCCTCGCACATCGCACCCATCCGGATGCTGAACTCCGTGCACAAGGCGGAAAGGGGGGGCGCGGACATGAAGCTCCTCTCGTCCTCTGTGCACTCACTGCTGTCCCTCGAGGAGCGCAGTAAAGTCTCTGGACCAAGAAGCAGCATCAAAGTGGACAAGAGCTTTGGCAATGCCATGATGGACGCGCTCCCCTCGTCCACCCCCCATCAGCCCATGCAGGTCCTCTCCGGACTCGCCGAGAGCAGCTCCGTGTCGCCCACCGTCTCCTTTGGCCCCCGCACCAAAGTCGTCCACGCGTCCGCGCTGGACAGGGTGATGAAGCCGGCGCAGCAGCCGGCCCTGGTGGTGGAAGCCAGCACCGCTGCCGCGGGGACGTCCAGCACCGTCTTCCACGTGGCTCGGCCGCCCATCAAACTCCTGGTGTCTTCATCTGTCCCTGCGGATTCCGCCATCTCTGGGCAAACCTCCTGTTCTAACAACGTGCAAATAAGTGTGCCCCCTGCAATAATAAACCCCCGGACTGCTCTGTACACAGCCAACACCAAAGCTGCCTTCTCTGCGATGAGCAGTGTGCCCGTGGGCCCCCTGCAGGGCAGCTTCTGTGCGAACAGCAACACTGCCGCCTCCAGTAGCCACCCTTCCCCATCTTTCACAAACATGGCCACTGTGCCCAGCTGCCCGGCCCCCAGCTCCAGCCCCGCGCTCTCCTCGGTCCCCGAAAGCAGCTTCTACAGCAGCAGTGGCGGCGGTGGCGGCAGCTCCCCCGGGAACCTCCCTGCCTCAGCCCAGAACCACCACCACCACCACCACCATCAGCAGCAGCCGGTGCCCCAGCAGCCGGCGCCCGCCCCACCGCCCGGCTGTGTCGTGTGCACATCGTGCGGCTGCAGCGGGAGCTGTGGCTCGAGCGGCCTGACCGTCAGCTACGCCAGCTACTTCCAGCACCCGTTCTCGGGGCCCTCAGTCTTCCCCTTCCCGTTCCTGCCCTTCAGCCCCGTGTGCGGCAGCGGCTACGTGGGTGCCCAGCAGTATGGCGGCGGCGCCTTCCCGGTCGTGCACTCGCCCTACGGCGGCGGCGTGGGCCCAGAGCCCGTGCTGGGCGGCCAGTCCGCCTTCACTGTCCCGCCTGTGCAGAACTTCATGGGGGCGGCGGGTGTCTACCAGGCCCAGGGCTTGGTGGGCAGTAGCAATGGTTCCAGTCACAAAAAGAGCGGGAACCTCTCGTGTTACAACTGTGGGGCCACCGGTCACCGCGCTCAGGACTGCAAGCAGCCGTCCATGGACTTCAATCGGCAAGGTAAAGGCTCTCGAGGTGGAGAGATCCAGACAGGAGTGTCCTTTTTATGAAAATAATAATCAACTTCCTTTTTTCTAAAGCAAGCAAGAAGTGATTTTCAAGTGCTCTCTGAAAAGGCACCAAACTCTTGATGGGCTATGCAGCCCCCTGAGGGCAGCTTTGGTTCTGAGACTGTCTTTATGATTTCCGCCTGCTCCTCACTCCAGTGTGGCTTGCTGGCCGTGGCCCGATGGCTGCGCGGTCTGTTCTTTTGTGCCACGTGACTGGGGAGCAAGCGTGGGTGATTCAGAGCCACCCCAGTGTTAACTGAGAACCAAGGGCGTGGCGTGTGAGCGCAGGCGCTGCCGATGGGACTCTGTCCCCGCTTGTGTCCCCGGTCCAGAGTGGCGTGGCCGTGGCCGCTGTGTGGCTCCGTGGTGTCCTCGCTCCCTGTGCTGTATCTCCTTCCTCCCCCCTTTCCTACTTCCACTCGCTATTTTTTTGTCTCCTTTAGTCAGGTGTGTGTCTGCTGTCGTTACCACACCAGGTTTGTTCTTGCTGTTTTTCTGGGCATGGGGAAAGCTGGACAGTCAGCCACTTGCTTTCTGGAGACTTTTGAGGGGAGCTGCACAGACAGCCTGGAGTCGGGTCTGGTGGCAGGTGGGGTGCCTGTGGGCTGTGGCCACCCCCGTTGACAGATGGTGCTGCATCTCCTGAGGCAGCGAGCCCAGAGCCCGCTGTGGGGTCGGGCCTCCCTGGCCCTGCCCCAGGGAAGGGGCCAGTTCTTGCTGTCTGAGCTCCCAAAGTTTGAGGGAAAGGACTGGGAACTCTGTAGTCTCTGCACCCTTTGTCTGATTTGATAAACTTTACAAAAGAGTTTGGGGGTGCAGCAGGGGAATTGGGAGTGGTTAGAAGAGGTGGTTTAGATTTCCAGCACCCAAATCTTGACCAGTGACTCCGGAAATAACTTTGGACAGATCATGGCAGTAATTCTATGGTGATTCAAATTTGATCTCTTTTTTTTTTTTTCCCCCTTCTCTAGGTACTTTTAGGTTGAAATATGCCCCTCCAGCAGAAAGTCTGGACTCCACAGATTGATATTTTTCTCTGGCAACAGAACACTATTAAGCCATGGAGACCTAAGGAAAATTAAATACAAAACTGAGAAGTCTAGTTGCTGTTGAGCTTAATATTTTTAATCCAAAGGTGCTTTACTTTACTAGACTGGATAGAAAACCTAGCGTAGGAATGCATCAAACTCAGTTTTATTGCCAAAATCCTAGACGGGAGCTTGATGTCAGGACTGGCCTAGTGGGTATCTCCACTATGGGTGAAAACTGGCCACCTCCACCCTTGGTCGCAATGCAGAGACCTGCCGTCTCCTGAAGAGCATTGCCATAATTGGTCCTTCTAGGCTCACACGTAATTCCAGGGCAGCTACGTGAGGTTGGAATCGAGAACTGAAGGTCGGAGTTCTCCAAGTGGAGTTCTACCAGTCGGACTCTTGACACCCGTGGTGAGGGAAAATGTCGCCTTTGTTTTGTTCTGTTTGTTCTGTTTCGTTCTTACAGTGGTTAGGCACTAATCTCTGGGCTTTTTAAGGATTGCACTACAGAAGAATGTAAACTGATGTCAATCTCTGCAGTTCTGGGAGACAGACTCCCTGAGACCAGTCAGTGCAAGACACTCAGAGAATCCGTCTTTATTGAGTCGGCACCAGCAGGCTACATGACTTAGTACACAACAGAGATTTTAGTATTCCTTCCCTCCTTAAAAGCACTTGTAGCAGTTTCAGGTTTTTATTTTTATTTCTTCCTGCAAATACATTTAAACTACATTATTAAATAGAAATAGTTACTTGCAACAACTTAATTTCTAAAAGGGTCCAAGTCCCAGAGAATCCCTAGCTGTCAAAGCTTTGAGGACACCTTCCTTCCCAGCCCTTCAGAGCTTTGAGTCCTGTCGTCTTCCCCGTGAAGGAACCCTGGCAGACGCGATAGCAGCATGGCCTCGTGAGCGGCATTGACGGGAGGCTGCGTATCCTTAGCCAAGTTTGCAAGTTATTTTATCTCCCATGGACTTCCCAAGGACCCCAAGGCTCACTGCTAACGGATTCACACTTGAGACAGACCTTTCAACAATAATACAGTCCTACAATTTCTGAGCAAACGACTGAAATTTTCTCCTGTCAACTTCTTTTGTATTAGGCTCTGTATCAATAGTTAATTCCATTAAAAAATTACTGGAAAACTACGATAGAAAGTGGTTAAGACTCTGAAAGAGACTACACCGACAGGACAGAGCTACAAGATCTGCAGAAGTCTAGTTTTATCAAGGTGGGAAATAAAGTCCACCACGCAGCTCTCAATTTTACCCCACTGCAATGAGAGCTTTTGTTGTGAAAGTTAGGGACTTAAAGCTTCATGGCTAAAGGGAATTTTGTGCTTCAATAATACTGTTTTAAATGCTACAGCCTTCATTGTTAAAATACCAATTGGTAAGGCCTTGCCCAGGGATTTTCCAGTTGAATATTTAAAAGAGAAGAAAATAATAATACTCAGACCATTCTTAAAATGGGACAATCAGCCTCATGCAAAATTGGTGTAAATCAAAAGAGTACCCTAGAATTTGAGGCATTGTGTTGTAAGGCTTCAAATTTTTGAGATCAGTTTCCTGACTTCTTGGAAACTAAAGCAGAAAGTTGTTACTTTTTTTAATGAAAGGCTTTTAGAGTTTTTTAGAGTTTTATTTTAGTAGAGTTTTATTTCTATGCAATGCAGAATTGACAGACCTCTGTATTCTCTCTCTTCTTGGCACACAGTATTACCTACAGTTTTGAAGTAATGATGATGCTTACAACAGCTTTTTGGGGGAATGTTACATTGATCTCTTAAATTATAAACACTACAAAATGTCAAAATTGTGAGAACTGACACAACTTTGCCTTAAAGAGTACTAGACTGGAACTTGTCATATTATGTTTAAGGAAGACTTGGAGTGTTCATTGATGTTTACGATTTTAATATTTCTGAAGGCCGTTACAGTGGCCTGGATATGTGCTGAAAGCCAAACTTTTAAAATTTTTTGGTTTTTTTTTAAACAAAGAACTATTTTAAATAAATCCTATTTCAACACAGTGAAACTGTTGAAAACCGTCTCATAACAAAAGAGAAAAATCATATTTAGGTTTTTTTTTTTGTTTTAGTCGTCACTATTGGGGAATGAAAGTGTCTGTTGTTACCCTTATAACTGTTTTGATAAATATTAGAGGTTAGCGTTAAATAAAACAAAAAATCAGAACAAACTTCAATTTGAAGTATGACATTCAAATTGAGAGAAATAGGTTCAGACATTGTGGGGCTGTGTTCCAGTCATCAGAAGTCTCAGAGAAACTTCTAGCTGTCTTTGAAAATGCGTGTGTGGCCACTCAGAGTTGCTAACGGTAAAATGTAAACACGGGACACACAGGCACAGAGCATTCGGCTGCCGAACTGTGAGACCTCTTCTCGAGTGAGTGAGTCCCATACTTGAACTTGGGAATATTTGCGAGCAGTATTCTGATCAAATTTCTCTCCAGAAGCAACCACAGTCAGTGAGCCTAAAAAGCATTTGGCATTTCCTCATCAGCTAGAAACACAGATCAGACTGACCCTTTCAACTAGTCACTGAAGTTGTGGGCTGTTTCCAAACGCTGTGGCCCCAGGTAGGTGTGGCCCCAGCCACTTTGCTCTGTGTAGTCTGTCATATTTTAAAGTTTCTATCCCCAAGAATGGGGAAAGTGGAATGTACAGATTGAAGTAGATACAATGTTGGGATAAAACACTAATCTTTTTTTTGTTTTGTTTTTTAAAACAGAACACTCGAATTTCTACCTTATTTTCTAATTTTTATTTTATGATATTGAAAATTGGAAAGTGTATAAATGTTAAAACCTTCTAATTGCTAAAGAGCACTGAGAAAATGGGAGCTAGCACTTAGAATAATAAAGACAAAACTATTTTCTTGAAAGCAGGTATGTGATTGGATGTTTTAAAAAACCAGCATCATTTATAATCTCCAAAAAATTACACGAGTTCCGCTTGTTAATATAGTAGTCAGTAGGTTCAGTATTTTAATTTACCAATTTAGAATTCTAGGTCCTTTATCGCAAGAAGTCCCACATAGTTTATACTGCACGCTGTATGGAGGTGCAGAGCGGGTAGTAACTTTGCCTAACGTTACACGGCTGTAACGCGTTCCCGTCTGAGCACAGGCTGACCGAGGCTTGCATCTGTCCACTCACTCCAGTGTTGCTAGTGAGCACTTTTCTGAGCGGGAACTGGGTTGCACCCTCCTCGCTCCTTGTCACTGTCACTCTTCCTGCTTCCGTGATGGCTTACTAGATGCCTTGCTAGTTTCACACACTGATAACTGATGGTGTTACGTGTCCAAGAGTCTTAAAGGTTGTAAGGGAAACCGTGACCCTGCTCAGATCAACCACCCATCCAGTGGATGGGCCTGTGGATCCTAAGCAAGGTGGCCGTCCTTTCCAAAGTGCAGATGACTCCCAAAGAATGAGGCAGGTGACATTTACATCCATGGGTTCTGAAGAGGCTCAATTACTGAAAAGTCCCGAGGTTCTGAATCAAAGTGAGTATCTTTAATCAACACTCGCAAACTACGTACTGTGCTGGTTGAGGCCAAAGGTCAATGTTACTACACTGTTATTGGAGGGAGGGGAGCGCCGGCCAGTCCATCCCGGTGCTGTGAGGAGCCCCTCGTGCGTAAAGTTCTTAGATGCACAAAGACAGGCTTTGGTACTGAAACTGAAGACCTCGTGTACTCAAGAATCTTCACAGCTTCTATTGGACATATTTCTTTTTAGGAATGAAGGAAAATTCTCCCATTTTTGAGCCATTCTTTTATGTCAATTCTACAAAATTGCATGTAACTTTATAAATATTTTTAAAAGATATAGTTTTGTAAATATTTAATATTCTGCTAATTTGATTTTGAATTGTAAATGTCAAGTATTCTGTTTTTGGGGTTTTTATGTTTTATTATACTTTGTTAAAAAGGAAAAATTGTACATTTTTAGAATGTTTTTATGAGTAAATTTAATGTACTGAAAATAAAAATTAAAAAAAAAAGGTTCTTTTTATTAGGTCTTTGTCTCATAGAATACGAGGCACATATCCTTTCCTGCGATTCTTGATTTCCAAGCTAGGGAGTCTCTTCTTTCTGCCGCTCAGTGTTAAAAAAGGGATACCTGGTCTTAAATCCACTTTCTGTCTAGTTTCCTGGGTTTTTAAAAAATGTTCTATGAATAGAAATGTGAATTGATTTGGGATTGGTTTTAAGGTGTTCCAACTCCCAGTTCCATAATCAAGGTCAGCATTACTAGATCAACTGTCCTTTGGACGTTTCCAAACTCATGGTGAGTGTGCCCTGGCATCTGTGGCCATGTCCTCTCTGGACTCGGGATGGTGGCAGGCTAACAAGCATGTGTTTGCCCTGGTCTGTGGTGCTACCCTGAGCAGTGCAGGCCGCAGAGAGAGAATTCAGGGACTTTCTCCCTGCGGAAATCTCCAGTTTGGCTTGGTCTTCTCAGACTTGTGGATACCTGGAGAAAAACACGTGCATATGCATGGTTCCAGGACTGGTCAGGGCTCCAGTCAGGTAAGTAGCATCAGGAGACACAGCTGGCCACTCCCGGGACCTGGTAGGTTGCAGCCCCTCAGATAGGGAAGGCATTCCTCTGGTCACGCTCGGGGCCTGAGGATGGAGATCACGTGCACACCTGCTGTTTACTATATACAGCTCCCAACCGGGCCACGTCAGGTACCACATACCTGATACCACATACGTGATACCTTCCAGACCACACCCCACACACAGTCAATACTTTGTGTGTTGTACTTTAGTTCATTTAGAGCAGGTTTTCAAGTGCTTATTCCCACAAAACACCTACCCCCGACCCTTCCCCCCCCCCGCCCCCACACTTTGTGGCACATCTGTAATTTTAAGAGAATTGAGTTTTTTGAAGGCAGGACACTTTTGACCAACGTGAGCAAGGTGGAGCAAGGAAGGTCTCTTGTTCCTAAGGCAGAGACCTTCAG